TAAAAACAGCAACTTGAAATATTATATTTTTAAAAATACATGGTGCTTGCTAACCTTCGAAAAAAGCCAGCAGAGCAATTCGGTTTTTTTAAAGCTTTTTTCAAAAACCACACCCCATTTTTAGACTCTTGAAATATTGTAAAACTTTACTAAAAAAATTGCTATTTTTAAATAATACAGGGTGCTTTGTTGGAACAAAGTCAGCAGGACACTTCAGTTTTTTAATTTGTTTTTTTTTTTATATATATATATATAAAAACAACTACTTATGACACATGTTTAGGCTGTTTTAAAATCCTAAAAATGTGGTAAGTACATTTGTTTTTAGAAGTCAGCAAGGAATTGCGAATCTTTTTTAAAATGCCAAATTTCGAATATTTTATAATATTGTAGGAGCCAAAAAACGTGGTGTGGTTTAAAAAAAAACTGGGGTGCTCTGCTGGATTCGTTTGAAGCTAACAAAGCATCCCGTAATTTTTTATTTTATAATACTCAATAGCCTAAAATGAGACATAGCTGTTTAAACAAAAAATTGTATTTTTAAAAATAGCAGTTTTTTTTGAAAAGCTCTATAATATTTCAAAAATGTGAAAATGTGGTGAGGTTGTTTTTTTTTAAGTTTTGAAAATCCGAGGTTCTTTACTGGATTCGTTCAGAGCTAGTAAAGCTCTACTCGTCTTGTTACATAAAATAAAGGCATTTTGTAGCTGGTTATATAGTTATTTTGTAACTGCATATCTAACCCTTTTATTTTTTTCAGTTGGTTGTAAATATGTGGCTTCATAGAAGAAGTGAGGAACCATCTGTAACATCTACTCAGTGTTATTGGAAAGGCTCTAATTTATTAAAATGCGTAAATATTGATGTACACTTGGCTAGATTGTTAAAGAAACCTCTTCATCCACTACAGGAAAATATATCAGTACTTTTATATTCTTAGGATTTGTATATATTTTTTATTTGTAAATAAATTGTTTTTTTACTTCATTTTTCTCATTTTTTATTAAAAGGTTAATAAATAAAATTTTCACAGATTTTTATATTTTTGTTTGTAAACAATAATTGAAGAGTTTTTATTAAAAATCACCAATGTTAATAATAATAACTTGAGTCAATATTATTCTTTCTCCTTTTTTAAAGCTAGTATCAATAAAGATATTACTTTAGCTTGACCTATGATCAATTTTTAAATTTTGTGATATATTTGGTTCGACAGAAAAAAAATTATAACCCTTTGACATTGGTTGTTTTTACTTAGATTTTCATAACAAATAAACGGAACTGCAAACATGTTTTACTATCGTAATAATGAATAGCAACATTAAATTTTTTTTTTTTCACATTTATCACTGTTGTCATTTTCATAAAGGATTGGTATGAAGGCACACTTTCTGGTTTTTTGAAAAAGGTGGCAAGAATTGTGATATTTTTAAATTTATCACCAGTGATACCACATGTAGTTACCCGATTTATTGGAATATATAGACTTTGCTACCACATTCAACTGAACTTGGTTGTTTTTAATATTTATCACTGTGACATAGGCGTTTTTGTCAAATTGTTTCATTTTAAACTGCTGTAAATAGGTGCCTTTGTTTTGGTAGTTTTAGTCCCAAAAAAATCTATGCATATACAGGTACTCATTCCTCTTTGATTTGTTCGAAAAGTTAAAATTTTATAAAAAATTACATTGGCTGTTTAAAAACTCATTATAATCCCTGAAATGTGATAATTAGGTAAATTAAATTAAAAAAACAAACAAAAAAAATTTATTAAATTAATATTTACTCTTACAAAATAGGTTCTTGTAAGTTAACAAGCAATTATGCAGATATTACTAAGTAAATGTACTTGCTTAAAATTCACACACGAATGTGGTTTTAACATGTTAAATTAAATTAACTAACTCTTTCCACATGTATTCTTAGAGATGCTATTCTTTTCTCGATTCTTTTACTTAATTGTACATCTTCTGGAGAACTTTTTTCATTCTGTGATACACTAGGTGTGGCTTTACTAAAGTGCATCCCATGTTTTCAAGTAGCTGAATATTCTGAAACCCCTATCCAGGAACCAGTTTGTTTAAATACCCACATTTTTCTATTATTTCTTTATCACTAGTTCTTCCACAAAATGAAGAATAAATTCGGTATCTTCAAAACTTTCAGGAGATTCTGCATTTTCTTCCAGAAGGGTTTTTAGGTTATTCACCTAAGAATTTATAGTAGCCTAATTTTCAATTTCCTGAAGGGGACAATTAGCAGAAATTGCTGCTATATCTTGATAATCCGGTGTATTTTTATTAAAAAGTTTACGAGAAACATCGCTAGTAGAAGGTTGATTTTCTTCTTTCCAAATTTCTAGGAACACTAATAAATATTTTTGAAAATGAATGTGAATCATTATCACATTCTGGAACAAAACACTTTTTCGTAGTCATAATATTTATAAAAAGTACAAAATTAAACACTCAAATTCCAAATAAATTCTTGATCGAGACACTATGATGACAGATGCCATACACAGTGCTGCCATACACAGTGCTGCCATTTTGCCATTTTCTGAATTATTAAGTGACTTTGAAAACAATGAAACGTTAAATATGGTAAAAGTTTAAACAGAAATAATACTTTCAAAACACATTTGATATTATATATTTAAAAGATATTTGTTTAACGATGTTTTAGAAGTCTAAAAGTAAGAAGGAGTACACAAACGAACGTACATCACTTCTCGTAAACCTTCTAGCCGGCAACGTTGTGCGCTAGCTCCTATTGGTCTATTCCCGGTGACGTCATAAATTTTTAAAAAATTCATAACTCCGGCAAATGAATAGATAAAAAAAAAATAAAAAAAATGTAGTTTTATTTTTAACTCTACTATTCATAAAAAAAATTTCAAAATTTTTGAACATGCCCCATTCACTAATTTTTAATGCAAAAAAAATATAAATTTGTTTCATAAATTATTTCACCGTATATATCTAAAGATCTAGTTTAACAATATACATTCAAAGTATTAAATTAATGTCACCAGTGTGTTACATAGAAAGAGTTTGTTGGTGATTATACTTCTTCAGATTTCATCATGGCTGAAGTGACAATGAACTTGTAATATGTGAAGGATACAATACACATTGCTTAATTTTTATAAGGTATATAAACGAGTTCATTGCAATGAAAAATGGACCATAAAGATGCGATATAACAGAAAAGTCCTATTATAAAATTACTTGGTTTTAATTAAAAAAGTAAAATAGAAGTAACAGTCGACACGTTTTTCTGACTGTTAGTCTTCATCAGTACGGTGCAGCCAAGTTCAAAGGATCATGGAAATTTTGTTAGAAAAATTGTACAATTGGAGAGGTCAACAAAGAGCCAATAACACATTTGTGGTTTCAGCCAGTATACCCATAATTTTCTGAGCTTGTACTAACATCATAAAATGACCCGATGCTCTCCTTCTATGGCTATCAGCCATTCTTTCCTAAAATCTTTTGGTATGCTACAATAAAACATACAAATTATTTGATTTTGTAAAGGAACACAAATATTTGTGAAAACTTACATATGAAATGTTATTCCTTCCTTCTATCTTCGACCGTAAGATGCATTGTTACATCCAGGTACAAAACAACAAGACATTTTGGAAATCCTGTAAAAATGTAACACCAAACTACAAATGTTTTTATTAAAATGAAACACTAAACGACTAAATTAAAAAATGTTTTAATAAAACATTTACTAGAAGAACAAAATAAACAACATAAATAATAAAATCGATTGTATAATTGATGCATATTATGTACTTACACTTACTTTAGGAATATACTTATATTAGTGAAAAAACGATATAATTAAGGTAAAAAAAACGAACAAAACGCACTCAAAAAATCTACTGTTACTTTAATTGTCCGTGGAACCATAATTACATCATCACTAAACTAGCATATTACTAAACTTGATTCTGTCTTGTCAGTAGTGCCAACTTAAAATTTACTGATCATGGCGCCCATCAAAATGTTGTCATGATGCGGTATCTAGACTTTCTGAGAGCTACGGTTGCGATTAATAAAAATGAAGGAGTATTCGAGAGAAGAAAGAATATATATGATTTTAATACTTGGGAAATGTTTGGAATTTTCATTGGCATCTAGAGTTTATGCAGCACAATTTTCATTTTAAGATTTCGTGTAACTGGTACTGTTGCTTATGAAAAGTGTGCCATAAATAAGCCCACAACAGATGACGAAACTAATCATCGAAAATCCTAACACAAGCACAAGAATTGTGGCAAAATAATTAGATTTAAGCCAAAAATATCAAAATAATGACTGATAAAAAGTTACAACATTTTGTAAGGCACTGCCAAAAATTCGTTAATTAATTATTTTGTAATCAAGAGTAATTAATTTCAACAACACTACATTTTCAAAAAATGTCAAATAAATCTGCAACTATCAAAGATTTTTAAAGAGTTTAACTTCAAAATTAAAAGAAAATTAAGGGTTAAATTAAATAAGTATATAAGTTACATTGGTGTCAGAAGTGGGATTCAGTAAATAAATAGTGAGTAAAAATAGTTCGCACGACAATACAAAAAAGAAACTAAATAATCATAACATGGAAACTACAGGAGCTATAAAGAAAAAACAAAAAAATCTTAAAATTTCAGCACCGTGTAAATCGGTAATGAAGCGTTTTCGTACCTATGTTTATATTTTTTTAGTCATGGAATAAGCCTAAAAATTGCCTCCTTCCATATGTGCATGATATATAAAAACACCCTTTATAAGGAGTTAAAAAATTCATTGCCAATCAGCCACCATTGATTTTTAAAAATGAAATAATTCTTCAAAAAGATGTCTGTCGGTTGTTAGGATAATGAAATGTGTACCTAATTTTTATAGTTCTGATTAATTATATTGTTAAATACATAAATATGAGTTTTAGTTACACATACCTTGTATTGCTTTCATAAATAACAATTTTTTGTTTCAGTGGCAGTAAGGGAAAACAGTCTGATAAATATAAAGTAGTTGAAAATTGGCATTTACGGAAAAAAAGTATATTAATAATGGGTTATGAATGTTTCGAGGGTCTCACTAATCATGCCAAGTTAGATAAACTAAATTCATCTTTGAAGAAAAGAATATTGGAATATCTAGTTGATCCAGGTAAAATTATGTTTTTTTTCTTCTATTTTCTAAAAAAGTAGAGAACAATATTATTTTAAATCAAAATAAAATGTTTTGTTTTGATTTCGCAATTTTTTTAAATTCTATTTTTATCTCTTTTAGTTTTTTGCTCAAATATTTGTATATTTCTTATTTTATTCTTTCAAAAGTTTCCCTTTTATAATTTAAACTTGTAATTTTTAAACCTGTATAATTCTGCTAATCATTTCCACTCTTGTCATTCTTAATATCGTCTGTTTTTTCATTTATGTTAAATTTAATCACTTGTTTTAATCGATTCCTTTAATTTCTTTTATCTTCTTTTTTATCGCGTCTATCTTTTCTTCCATATAGTTAATATTCATCATCTGAATTCCATTTTTATCCACTTTTTTTATATAATTTTCTACCATCATCCATTTTTTCATCCTTTATCTTCATCAACTTTTTTAATATATCTATTGTTGACTCGTCTTTCTTCATTTTCTCTAATTATGCTCCATTCCTTTTTTAATTCCACTTTTCTCCTTCAAAGATCTTGTCTTCCTCATTTTGTTTTCCATGTCAGGCAGGAAACCAATATCAGTGATGCCAGTTTATACGACCGCGTTGTAACGTTAGCCGGACCGTATAAAGTGGCATCGCTGATAATATTCGTTTCCTACTCGCGCTAATGCTAACGCTCTGCAGTTTTCACCTGCACTTATGTGAAGCGTATTGGAAAGCTTTGGAGAAATTGTCGACTTATACAAATTAAAAGACCGAAAATATGAGAAACTTTGTTATTTTCTAGCCATTTAAAATATTTTATTTACGTTTAGATAATGAATTTAATAACGTATTTAGTATTTAAAATAAATACGTACATTTAAAATTATTTGAAGTTACTTTTATATCCTGACAGAAATACTCCACTTACCTGCTGTATCAACTTTTCGTTGAAAATCATACTTCAAACCCAATTTTGTCTTGTTAAGAAAAAAGTACAAATATTTTAATTACCTCTCATATTTATATTACAAAATTCTGAATAAATTTATATTTTAGGTCCTGATTTGGTAGTTTGTGATGAAGGCCATTTAATAAAAAACCACAAAGCATTAAGAACTTTGGCTCTGAACAAAATAAAAACCAGGAGACGTATCATTTTGACTGGCACGCCATTACAAAATAATTTATTAGAATGTACGTTTTTAGCTGTATGAGAATATCTTTAAAATAAAATATTAAATTTATTAACAATTTTAGATTATGAGATGGTTAATTTTGTCAAGCCGAACCTTTTAGGAACTTTATGGGAATTTAAACGTAATTTTGTAAATCCTATATCTAATGGTCAATATGAAGATTCAAATGAACTAGATATAAAGTTGATGATGAAAATGACACATGTGTTGCACAAACTTCTTGTTAAAACTGTACAAGTAAGTAATATACAAATTTCATTCTACTCAAAATTTAATGAAATACATTTTTAGAGATTTGAAGAAACTGAACTGGAAATATATTTGCCCCCTATGTTGGATCACGCTGTTTTTATACAACTAAACCAAATGCAAGTAAATCTGTACAATTTATTTTCACAAAGAGTTGAAACTCGTCTTACGCAAGCAAAAATCAAGCGAAAACAATTTCTTGGCGATTTCCACACGTTTCAACACATAGGAACGCATCCTCACTTGTTGGTACTTATGGACAAACAGAGAAACAGTAAAGTTAAAGAAAAAGATGTAATAACGAATGAAGAGGATCAGAATGTTATTAGTGAGGTAGGATGGTGGAAGGAAAAAATGCCAGCAGATACTTTACAAAACATCTCATATGGAAATAAATTGGTAGTGTTAAAGGCTATTATTGAAGAATGTGAAGCTGTGGAAGATAAACTGTAAGTAACCCAACTAGCTTTATAATTTTCACTTAACTGGAATGTTATATTTTATTGCTGTTTCTGGAACGCTAATTTGTTGTACTAAAAAAAAAATACTATATTAACAGAAAATCCATTTCATGCAAAATAATCAAATTACAGTAGTAAGTCGTTTACACGTAGAGAAAGTATAATTGAAAAAAACAGTATACAAACATTTCTTTTAACTTTGTAATATTCTTTTAAACAATTGAAAGGAATTGAAAAATACTTCATTTGGACATGACAGGCTATTCAATTTGCGAGAGTGTATTATGACCACCATAATTTGTTAAATGCTTGTTTTCATATAACAACGATCTATTCCTATTTCTTGATCCAACATTAAAGTTAAATAAAGCAATCAGTTCCGGACAATTTATTACACCATTTAACAACTTATGCAAGAATAGCAAATATGCATCATGCCTTCGTTTTTCAAGAGAGTAAAGATTAGTCATTTTAGAAATTTGATTAGTCAGTATTCAGCCAGTTCAATATTATATGCATAATGTCTGAAAAACCTCCTCTGAACTATCTCAATCAATTCCACATCACATATGTATAGTGGAGACCAAACAATAATTAAACCATAATATTCTAAAATTGACCTTATCAATGATTAATAAATGGGTCTGATATTACATGTATTAATAGAGATATCTTAATAATAATAAAGTAGAATTAGACGTAATAAGTCAAAACACGTGGGGTAGCGCTAAGTGTAAGGGTGCAGGAATATTAAATGAATGGTAAAGACCAGAATAGTAGTATTCAAAAGGCCTTCATATGTGGTAATGGAATAGGATGATGTTTAGGCTGTAGTGCAACGTTTAAGGGCGAAGATTCAATATGTGGACGAAAGATGTGAGCGAAACCACTGGTACTGATGAGACCCTTGAAAGGAGCGAAATTAATCAGTAACGTCAAAAAACAAAACAGTGCTACCAAAGTTGTACGGTATGTTGGTATGGGTCATTATTTACGGACCACTTGTTTATTTGATATTGAGATATCATATATGCCCACTGGCGAACCAACTCTTAAAAAAATGGTAACTCGCAACGGTAATACCTTAGAGATGGTTTGGTAATGTACCAAGAATAACGGACCTCACTTTAATTGAAAAATTTTAAAATAATGTTTGTGGTAAATTAAAATGCATATTTGTTGTATACCTGTAAAACATTAAAATTCCCCGCTATTGGAAACATTTTCTCCTACCCTGTATGCTCCGAAAATTTTGGAGCGATGACAAATGTCAACATTCCACCTCACATTCCTGAAATTTTTCCCCCGTCTGTTATTTTGAAACCGTAGTATAATGCCTTAAGTTCTTGCCCATAATCATTTGAAGTAGTTTGTAGACAAATTAGCGTAACATTGAGAACATTGTCTGAATAGCTGAAAGCATTATTTCGTTCTCTATAATCGAAGTTATAATACAATATTTATACATCAACATTATAAAATACATTTATATGATTATTTAAAAAAAAAAAACTACAATGGCTATATCTCATGAACTAAAGACCTAAAATGTTTAGAAACGTTGTTACTGCTCAAAAATATAGTCAGTAAATATGCCTTACACAATATTTAGTCAAACACTACTGTAGTAACTATATTATTCATTTTTACGACTCCTGACATGACCATTTTATTTAATTTGACAGCTTTTGGATTTTGTTGTTGGTTATTACTTCTATTATCTTTTACTTCTATTACAGCTTGGTATTTTCTCAAAGTCTATGCGAAATGGATTTGATCGAACATTTTTTAAAAACTATTGGTACTGAAAAATGTTCATCTTGGAGGAAAAAAGTGGATTACTTTCGTATGGATGGAACTGTATCCCCCGAAGAGAGATCAACTATCTGTGATATGTTTAATGACAAAAAAAGAAAAAAAGTCAGGTAAGTTTATGTCTTTCAAATTATTCAATCTGTAAGTCAGTTATTATTATTTTTTTTTTTTAGATTATTATTAATGTCTACAAAAGTAGGCGGATTAGGATTAAATTTAACTGCAGCAAATAGAGTTGTCATTATGACAGTACATTGGAATCCTTCTTATGATACACAAAGTGTCTTTAGGGCATACAGATTTGGGCAGCAAAAGTCAGTTTATGTATATCGACTAATTGCTTTGGTAAATATTACAATTACTTGTATATTGATAGCTGAAAGGAAAAGGTCATGAGCGACTTATTTGAATTTTTAGGAGCAACAAACATTTTTTTTTCTACATCGATTGAGTTTATTTTTAGCTTCCGACAACAATTTTTTTGTCGCTTTAGTCAACAAGAAAATACATAAATTACAAAATATATGAATAATTTTATAAGATTGTCATTTGGAATATTTAGGAAAACAGTTAAATTTTAGTTACATCATTTAATTTTTAATATTTGTAAATATTCTGTTTTTCTCATAATTTAAAAACAAAGGTATTGGTGTTCAAGCTGTTTTACCTTGCATGATTTTTTATCTCTGATCGACATAATTATTAAAAATAAACAGGTTAAAACATTTTACATATTCGTTTATATAGTTTAAGGCAGTTAAAATGGTTTACTTAATCCGTCCCATTTAATTCTGGTGATTCCTTATATTTAATATATGGGTGATTGTAACGTTTTATCTTATTGTCTATATTCTATTGTTAATGGATTACATAATTTCGCCCGAATGCTTACACTGACTGTTAAGCTGGTTAAGACCTTTTACCTGACTTATTTGATCGTCAAATTGCTGTAGCGACAATAATTTTATAATGAATGCAATTTTTTATGTGTAATTAATAGCCAATACACTAAACTTTATTATAATAGTTTTTATTTTTTAAAAAAAGGGTTGGACAAAAGTTATGAATTTTTTAAAAAATAATCGTTATACTGTAAAGTTATCAAACTATCATCACTTATGACCTTTGGCCTTAACAACCATCAATATCTTTATTACTACAAGTAATGTTTTTCCTACTAATTTTATGTCTATGTGTAAACTAGGACACCATGGAATCAAAAGTTTACCAACGTCAAGTAACAAAGTTAGCGATAGCACATAGGGTAGTAGACAAGCATCATATAACAAGGCACTATAAAAGTATAGATTTACAAGAAATGTATTCGTGCATACCCAATGCAGATGATGAAAGGCCCACTCCTAATGTTCCGGAAGATGAAATTTTAGCGAAAGTAATTTTAAAATTGCCTTGCATCTTCAAGTAAGACACATTAAAATAGTATTAAATCTAAATAGTAAAATGAATACCGAGCTCTTCTGAAGACAAATATAAGCTAAAACTACAATATGATTCTCACCCTCCACTGATTTGTTAATTTGTGATATGAATGGTCCAATTTGTCTTCAGAATAGCTTGCAGTGATGCCATACAAATTAATGTGCTTCTACCTGATGAAGACCTAATTAGGCGCAAACTTGTAGAATGACAATATTCTTAAACAGCAAAAATCAAAGGTTTGACTATCGACATAGTTAAACGTGTGGATCATATTTGATTCACACTGATTATATATTCTTTGTATGTTTCACTTTTTTTTCGGTAGGCGTCATCGTTTAAGTTACATGATACATAAAAGACAAAAATTATGTATTTTTATATTGAACTGTATAATCATATTTAGAGTACATAATAAGTCTTAACTATGAAGACTAGAGATAAGGAGACGAATCGGCATACTCAAACTACGGTCCCAAAAAACGCATGCTAATTGAGCTTCTATAATTAACCGCATGGGCGCTGGTACTGCTTACGGTGTTCAAAATACATGGCTTCTTATGGGAATTATACATAATTTTGTCAAAATAATAAAAATAAACTTGTTTATAGCTAAATAAAGCACAGAACATACTGTTGTATTTATTTCTAAATAAGTCTTGCATGTTTTATTTGATAAGTTATTTAATTTTATCTATATAAAATACAAATTAGGTATGTATGACCAAATTCGAAAAGGTTTCTTAAATACTGAAATTTGATAAGTACAATTTTGTGGCAATTTTTTTTTTGAATTGAACCAATATATAGTTTTAAGAGTAAAATAAAACACAGTTAACAGATTTTTTATTGTTGTAATAAAGAGAGATTTGGGAATGTACATTCTTTAATTTCAGCTTTCCCCTTTTTATTTTGCTAACAGTACCATCAGTAAAAATAGTCTCAATATTTGATAATATCTTCTAAAAAGTATAGAACAGCATCATCTCTAGAAAGTGCTTTATCGGCACTAGGAACGACACATATGCTGCCACTGTTCTAAACATATAGTATCCTATAAAAAACATTTAAAATGACACAATTGGGGTCAAAAAAAAAATAACAGTAGCAACTCTTTATCTAACATTAAAACTCTAAAAAAAGTATTTTCTTTTCTAGTAAGTTAAATTTAATGCATAATTATTGTTGTTTGTAAGTCAGCATCTATAACTGTAAAATTTTATATTGTAGAAACTTATAATAAAATAAACTATACTTCGTAAGATACATATTGTGACTAGTTTACAATAAATATTATATTTAGACATGAATACATTATTTTACTTAAAGTAGAAGCTTTAAAAAGATATTGAATTGATTTCTTCTTGTGTTTTCTTTAGTTTTACATTTGATTTTTATCCTGTTTTACAATCTGGAACGACGTAAATCTTGCTTTGATATTTTTTGTCACTCATGTTACTTGTACTCAGGTACTTTTTTTCACATTATTTTGATTCTTTTCTTCAATTTTTTAAAAAATCACTTCATTTTACATTTACTTGCATAGAAAATTGACTCCGCTGTCATTAGACATGCTAACTACAGTCAATTTCGCAAACTTTATAAAAAGAAGGACGGAAATTTGACCATTGCCGATTCGCCTCCTTCTCTCTTGTCTTCATAGTCTTTACCACAGAAAATTTAATAATCGTTATCATGATATTGCATCTATAGTTACACTAAAAATAATATATTGTGAAATAATTTTAAAAAATAATAATTTTAGATATCACGAGCATAAAGCATTATTAGCAGATAGACCAGAAGATAAACTTAGTGAACAAGAAATGGCAGCCGCTTGGGAAGATTTCAAAAATAATAAAGATGCTTTTAGGAATCCAAGTAACCCGCCATTACCACAACCACACTATTTGCCGCAAGATAATTACCCTTTTGCTCCCTCTTTCAAGGCAGCTTATAATTTAGGGCATGCAACTCCGAATAATTCATTATACTACATGCCTCCGCAAAAGTAAGTAAAACAATAAATAGTAAAAATGTTAATCAATAGTTATTTTCGCGGGTCCGATCCCGAACATATTCTGAATGCCAAATTAAAAATTATACTGCATTTGTTTTGTTTAAATGTTTATGTAGGCGTGTAGGCTTTACCTTAGCGTTCAGAGTACGTTCTGGACCGGCTCCGCGAAAATAGCTTATAGTTCGATTGTTTCACGTACATTTTCCTGGATTTAAAAGACTTCACTCCATTCGTAACCCGTTTTGTTGAGGTTTCTGCAGGTTCCAAAATCCCTCTTTTTGTTAAGCTTTACCATGAGTGTGACACTCCTTGTATTGGCTGCAGTTTGTAGTGGAGTATCTTGATGGTTATAAATAATGTTCTCCAGGACTGATGTTGATTTTCACATTAATTTATTAATTGGTAATAATATTACAATAAGTGGTTTGTTTTTGGTACAACTTGTTATTTGAAAAACTATATGTTGTTTTTTGGTACTCAATAAGGTTTGTTTTTGTGTTTTTACAGTCTAAAATTATTTTACGACTTCGAATGTACTAAAACCTTCAAGAGAAACAAAACATCACAGCAATTATTTTAATGATAAACAAAAGCAAGCACAACACATTATAGGATAGTTTGTTTGGATATGAATGCAACCTTAACAATTATCTATGACTTTTCATGTAAGCATGGTTTAAAAATTAACCCTACAAAAATACACACAATATTCTTTGGGAATAATAGAGATACTGTCAACACTTTGAATATTGTGATTGATGGAGTCTAGTGATACTGTCAAAAACTTAGGATAGTGATCGATACTTAACTTAGGTTTAAACTACAGCTTTTAAGCCGTATTGCAAAAATGTTACATGTCTCTCAAAAACCTCTACTATAGTAAATCTTTTGAATTTTCGTCTACGAAAACAACTATGTGAATCTCTTGTCTTAAGTCATTTGAATTACGCTGACGTCTGGATGCTGATTCGACAACACGAATTCAGCGTGTTCAGATTTATTGTATAAAGCTTAATTTATAACCGCCGTAACGTAACTTAAGAACTTAACGTAAGAAGTTGAAATATTGAATTTACGTATACTTATTTATAATGTTCGTAACGTAACTTAAGAACTTAACGTACCGTAGAAAGTTCACCAACTTTTAACTTACAACATAACTTAACTTAAGACCTTACGGTTAACCAATGAGATATTTCTGCGTTCAGCATGTGATAACTGTCAATTATTCTCTTTTCATGTTTTTTTATAAATAAATAGAAAAATACCATTTGTAAACTATCATTCTCCATTTTGATGGACATACATTATCGTGAATGATTTGTGTTTATGTTATTGGGGATAAACTATCTATGAGATATGAGTGTAGCTGCATATACCTATAAACATCAAGGGTGAGATTACAGAACGTCTGCAACTTTGCAGATCTGCAAATATGGCGGACTTACAAATGCAAGTATTCCAAAAAATATCTGCAAATTCGCAATATTTATTGTGGTTTATTACCCCCAACAACACTAAACCCAAATTTGGAATACGAAAACTTGATACTTGCATGTGTAAGTCAGTCATATTTGCAGATTTTCAAAGTTGCCGCCATATTTGCCGCTCTGCAAAGTTGCAGACGTTCTGTAATCTCACCCATAGAAAAATAAATCTCACCCCAAGTCTAGAACTGAAATAAGACACAAAACGTTTTTGCTAGAAAAGATTAAATTCTCATTATTGCTCAAAAACAATCAAGATCTTCGGTAAACTATTTTGTTTTATTATATTTTTATATTATTGCTTTTAAAGTAGTTAATATATTCTTTCTATATAGCAAAAAAGTTTTATTTAGAGGTTAAGTACATAGTTTACACTTGTTTATTTCATAAGGTTGTCAATAATTTGATAATCTCTGAAATCAACACGCATGCTCAACTCTTACGTTACGGACATTTATAAATAGACTTTATTTTTATATCTTAGGTTAAGTTTCTACGGCGTTAAGTTACGTTACGGTGGTTATAAATTATACTTAAGACTTATTTTCTCTCTTCAAACACCAGATCATGTGTCAGAAAAATGATCAGAGTTTCGCTGGAATTTTTCAAATCTCAATTATAAAAGTGAATAAGGGATTTCGTTATTCGAAATTTTTTCATGGTACCTGGCAAAAATGTTTCAAACTAAAAACAATTATATACAGGTTGTACCAATAAAAACTCCCAGGCCGAATATTTTGGTAATAGAGATATTTTAATTCTATAAAAGCCAGTTCACAGAGCACTAAGAGAGCTTCAGTTTTAGATATAAATTAATTTTAAATAGGTCAATATGTAGATGGCGCTGCGCTCAATATTTTTTTTTTTTCGATGGGTAGATTTTTCTTATGTGACGCATTTGGTAAAAAATGCTTACGCAGATTTTGTTCTATAAACTTATTCGATAAATCTAGCCATTTTTGATATACAGAGTGGGTCACTCAAAACAGTTTCATCTTGTTTTTCGGCATTAATTATTTGATTTTTAGAAAATGCTAAAACATGTCGATTATTATTCCAAGTTGAACACATTTTTACAATACAGACATGTGTCATGTGTCAACCCCCTCCCTCCACTTCTCCAACCCCTTAATTTTAAATAAGGACTGTACCATGTACGGCACATCATTGAAAAGGTAATTATATGGGAAAGTCAGAAATATGACTGTTTATTGCGATACTTTTAATTTTAGCGCCCTCTATCGGGATAAAAAACCTGTAACGTATTATAAAGTGTGACACTTCATTTGAAAGCTAATTTAATTACTTATTTAATGCACCACATAACATTGATATAAATATTTCCATATTGCACTTGCAACAAAATAAAGTTAGAAATAATGTTTAAAATAATGCATGACTAATTTTCAAACTATTGCAAGTGCAATATGGAGGATATTTATATTAATGTTACGTGGTACATTGAATTAGTAATTAAATTTGCTTTCAAATAAGGTGCCACACTTTATAATACGTAGTTTTTATCCCGATAGAGGACGGTGCAATTAAAAGTATCGCAATGAACAGTCATATTTCTAAATTCCTCATAAAATTTCCCTTTTAATGATGTACTACATATTGTAGTATCTCACTCTATAATACGTAGTAGTTTTTTTATCACGCTAGAGGGCGATAAAATTTAAGTAACGCAATGTGCAGAAATATTTCTGAATCCCCCATTAAATTACCTTTTCAATGATGTGCCATGCATGGTATATTACCTATTTAAAATTAAGGTGTTGGAAAAGTGCAAGGGAGGGGGTTGACACATGACAGATATCTGTATTGTAAAAATATTTTTAATTTGGAATAAAAATCGACCTGTTTTAGCATTTTCCTAAAATCCAATGATTAATGCTTAACCCATTTAGTGCCACGGACGAGATATATCGCATAATGTGTCCCTTATTGAGAGGCCACTGACGAGATATATCGCATGACGATACCTTCATTCACAGGCCACAAACGAGATATCTCGCAAGAGTTGGCAGCACGTTTATATAGCACGCACGATAAATTTTGCAAAACAAGACTTTTATAAAAATACGTAGCAGATATTTCTTGCTCACTTATGTATTAATTATGTAATTTAGGATATTATAAGTTTTAAAGTTGTTTATAATAAATATGTAATAAATACCTATGACTCCAACGTGATCGAAATACAAGTACACGTACCTATTTTCAATAAACTTGAATGAAAAGTGCTTTATGGTGTTTTGGCGTAGGTTTTGGGCAAAATATTTTTGTGTACTGGGTGTCCAAATAAGAAGGGACACCGGCTGTAGGATACAGTCTGTATCTCTGAAACCATGCGTCGCACACTGGGGCAAGAAGCCCTCAAATTTGGCAATAAATAAAAAAATTAAATAGCATATACACTCAACCTCATACTTTTTTCTTATATATTACTGTCCACTACATAATAAAAGGAACAAGTGCGATCTTCTGCTTCACGCGTTTCATCGCCATCCTCAGTCGAAGTTACTTATCTGAGACGAGTATATATTGATTATTATTTCGTAGTTTTTAACTTGTTTTTGTGCTGTGTTTAGGCTGTATTTGATTTTTTTTTTTTTTCAAATTTCCGCCATCAAACCTTTAAGTTCAGCTATGTATTATTATTTTAAAAAGTAAAAAGTTGTAGAAAAATAAACGTAATCTTATAATATTCGGGTTAAATAAAATGAAGGTTAAACGTTAAAATTTTAAAATATTCTTAAATACACGAAGGCTATTTGTTGTGTACCAAAGCAGTCCAAGCTTTAAATTTAGACTTTTCATAATGAATATTGTTTGTACTTTTCGAAATCGTTTAGTTTCTGTGCACTTATTTGCACTTTTCTTCACTATTTGGGTTTTTTCAAAGTATATAAATATAAGGCGGGACGATCATCAAAAACGAATTCTGTCTTTTTTAATATATTTCGTTTAATAATAAATCGATTTTATTGTCCTTAGGCTCATTTTATAGGCAATTAAATGTGCTTCCAGACAGACATAACAAAATGCTAGAAATGTAAAATTTAAGATGACCTAATTGAAGAAAAAAAACGAGCCTAAAAGTAACCCATTTTAAGCTCGTTTTGCGTAATAATTATGAATTAAATATAAAATCTAATAACAAAAGTTAAATATCTAACTTATTTTCTTTATCTTAAGACCTCTCCTAGCACGATTGGTTCATTCAATCGTAAGATATAGACAATCAAAGTTATCTGGTTTTATGTTTTCATAGAAGCTTATAATAACACATCATTATGCTTTATAACGCTGCTATTTTAGTTTTTGACCGATTTGGACTCAATGGGTCTGATTTGGTAGGTATCTAAATATACTTTTCGACCATTAAATTAAAATGGCGGAAATTTTAAATTCCAGGATGGCGAACCTAATTGAAATATGAGTCGATTTAGAGCTAGTTTATTTTGCACAAATACTTTATACATGGGCCTGAAATAATATCTTCTGCTTTGTTGCCTATAGACCAATTTACAAAGAAAACTAATGAGGACGTCTTTAATTAATTTTTACTTAGTTTTGACCTTGTAATCACGAGCAAACGAAAATTAGAAAAGAAAGAACCTGCAGCACATTTTTATTATCTGTATCTTTAACGTGTGAAGGGTGGATTACCCCCGCGGCACTTAGGCTTCATTAGGTCCATGACATTTTTATTATATTATATGTTAGTATTACAAAAGGAAATACATAGAGGGCTTAATAGAATATACATTTTTAATATATTATATTATTAATAACTTTCTATTTTTTTTTTAACAAACAAACACTTTAAGGGCCCTCTATGTATTTTCATTTGTAATACTAACACAAATTCATAAAGAGAGTCTGTGATTTATTGCCAACTTTGAAGGCTTGTTGCCCCAGTGTGCGTCGTAGAAATATGAAAAAAAAAATGAAATGTAAAAGTAATTAAACGGAATCGCTAGAAATTACTTTCACGTTTCTTTCTTCGCCCCTAGATGGCGCCATACTCATGACCAATGATAATGAGAAAAATTTCGCACAGATTACAATTTTAACATGTGATACATTAATAAAAAATCTGATTTGTCAAACACATTACTTTCCTGTCTTACCTAAAGTTATTATTAATTTTATCAAAAATGTTGAGTACGGTCCATCTATTCCATAGTATTTAATGATCTAAATAAATATATAGATACATTTTCCACACACATTTTATTTAAAACGTTTTTTCATAACCTCATTATCAATGAAAATAATGCGAAAAATTAGAATTTTACACGTTTCCTCAAATTTGTCTAATACGGTCCATTTTAGGGAAATCATGTATAAAACAAAAATTATAGAAAATGTCATCACAAACAACTTTAATTTAAAGAATTTTCTTCTCCAAGCGTAAATAACAGATCTATTCCTTAATGTAGAAAAACGAACCTCTTTTATAAGTACCCCCCCCCCCCCCAGATGCTCCGACTATGACCAACAGCTAATCAACCATTTTTGTCTGTCTACAGACAGGAAAGTAAAAAGAGCAATGAAATTCAGAAATTATTTGTCGTAATTATTGGCTGGCCTATCGAAGCATTAGCGATATTTATTGGTCTGCTTTGAAAATAAGGTACTATATTTATTAGTAGGCACTTAATGGGTTAAAAACAGGATGAGATTGTTTTGAGTGACCCACTCTGTATATTAAAAATGGCTAGATTTATCGAATTAGTTCATGGAACTAAATCTGCTTAAAAATGCATTTTTTACAAGATGCGCTACACAAGAAAGATCCTCCCATCGAAAAAAAATTATTGGGCGCAGCGCTATCTACATATTGACCTATTTAATATCAGTTTATATCTAAAACTGAAGCTCCCTTAGTGCTCTGTGAACTGGCTTTTACAGAATTAAAATATCTATTACTTACCAAAATATCCGGCCTGGGAGTTTTTATTTTATTTATTTAAATACAGAAAAGCTTATCTCTACGTCAACAGATGTAATAGGGGCGTTTTTTTACTTTTCTATCTGTAATACAGGAGTTATAATCAATCATATCATGAAGATTTTCTTATTCGATTCCAGATCTTTAATTTTCATTCTTTTTAATGAATTCAAGTTGGAAATGAAATTGTTCCCTTTTACAATATTTAATATAAGTATTACATATGAAATATCTACAGAGCGTACTATATAAATTAAAATTGATTTCTTGTATGAATAAATAATTCTTAGTTCTACTTTTGAATCTTTTCTATTTTTTGTTTTAGATATTCTCACTTCACCAGTCACTATTAGTTTTCTATCAATTAAATTACTTTTTATTATTACATTAAATGCATAATTATTAATTTTTATTATTTTTTAATAATTTTTATTGTTATCATGGTTACTGTAACGTTTATTTATTTTAAAACAATTTTTTTAATTTAATTTATTTACACTGATATGCTAATTTATTTTATAATTAATTTATTTGCGCTTAATACTTCTCATTTATATATCACATTCACTTAATTACTAATTTATATGGACATTTAACTATCGATCTGCCCACAGCTTGAAGAACTAACTTTCCAAAAAAGAGTATTTATACACAAAGGTGAGGGTTCCCGAAGTTTCCATCATTTTCTTTGACTACATTATAATATGGTACATTCGCCAAAAATTGCAATGTCTTATTATTCATCGAATATTCTAGTTTGTTCCAGACTGTTGATCGACGTTGGCCATAGTCATTCCATTTACCGTTCCTATAGAGGGGGTTTCAGGGTTGACTTAATTCATTTGGTATTTTTGGTAATCGGATAAGAGGTCCAAGCAAGGCAAAGAGTGATAGGCATTAACAAATGACTATGTACATAGCTTTTCCAAAATGAATGCATAGAACATATATAGGGAAAGTTGTTAGGAAATTACATACTTTTTTCGACTTTGCTCCAATAATTTTGTTAACATTTTTTATGGTGATCGTTTGATTCTATCCCATACTATTCTTACGTACTTTAAATAAATTTGCAAATTAGTTTTATACATATACAGGGAGTCCCAAAAAGTAGGCCAATTCGCTGACCATAAAAAATATTTAGGTCAATGTAAGAAACCTCGATTATTATTTTTTTCGATTGGGGCTATCATGTTCAAAATTAATTTAAAAAAATACGTTTTTCATTATATTTTCGTCGTTTTACTAAGTAGATGGCTTAAAATTGGTACACCGGGGTTTTTTGGAATGACAAATCTTATTTTGAGGCTAAATGTCTCCTGCCTCATAGAGAGCGCTAGTTGAAAGACCCTGTATGATGGCCCCATTCGAAAAAAATAATAGAGTTTTCTAACACTGACCTAAGGAATCTATGGTTTACGGATTGGCCTACTTTTTTAGGTCATCTTGTATATTTCTAGATTGTTGTGCATTATAATCCCACTTATTCCAGAACCCGAGCTAAGAACTTTTGAACTAATTCTTCTTTTTTTACAGTAACAGCACATTTGCAATTCCATCAACAAGTAGTGCACCAAATCCAATAGGCCCTTACAGAATGGGAAACACAAATGTAAATTCAAGTATTCGTACTCACCCAACTCCTCCATATAACCAAGGAAGAATTGTTTCTCCAGCATCGACTATGCCACAAGGTCTGTCAATGAGCAACACAAATGTAAATTCAAGTATTCGTGCTCACACAACTCCTCAAGGAAGAATTGTTTCTCTACCATCGACTAGTAAACAAGCTCCATCAACGAGTAACACAAATAATGTAAATTCAAGTATTCAAACTCACACAAGTCCTCAATCTAACCAAGGAAGAAGTGTTTCTCTGGTATCGACTAATAAACAAGCCCCATCAATGAGTAACACAAATGTAAATTCAAGTATTTATACTCACACAATTCCTCAATCTAACCAAGGAAGAATTGTTTCTCTAGCATCGTCTAGTAAACAAGTTCCATCAATGAGAAACACAAATGTAAACTCAAATATTCATACTCACACAATTCCTCAATCTAACCAAGGAAGAATTGTTTCTCTAGCATCGACTAATAAACAGGCTCAATCAGTGGGTAATGCAAATGTAAATTCGAGTATCTATCCTTACAACATTCCCCAAGGAACAATTATTTCTCTAGAATCGACTAATCCACAAGATCCATCAACGAGCAACGTAAATGTAAATTCAAATAACCAACACTGGTCCAAAAAAGTTTTAAGGATTCCCCCAAATATAAATCATGTTTCAAAAGAAAATACTATTAAGAAACCTAGAATAGTATTGGCGAATAAAACAAAATATGATTCTCAGAAACTCCCCAATCCCCTAAATACATCTACAAAACCGGATAATTTAGTTGAAAATCCGTACACACGGCCTTTGGTCTCGTCTGGAGATGTAGTCAGTCATAACCCGTTAATTATTAAAATTAGTGATCCAAATATGTCGTCTATTAGTAGCATTAACTCTTTAAAAAGGATATCTTTAAAAGAAAATTCTATGCCTCCTAGCAGATCAACTTTAAATTCGACTGATTTAAAAAGAAAGTTGACTACTGAAGAATTTGTTTCTAAAAACAAGATGCCAAAAAAACGCACTGAAATATATGAGCAAATAAATTTGACTGAGGATGATGATAATTCTGCAGAGCGAAATGAACATGCAGACATTGGTAAGAAATCTAAATTAATCATTCCTTAACAAAAATTCCCATCTATTTTTCATGAAATAACACTTGAATTCATTTTTAAGAGCAAGTCGACACGTCATCAATAGCGCCCCGTGCACTGCCGTTGGATTGGTGAATTGCTATACACTATGTTAGTGAGAAGTAATTTGACTTATTGTAGGTATATATAAAAGTTCAAAGAATATATTACTTTAGTCGTAAACAAAACGAACAAAATGCACTCAAAAAAAAAATTAATAAGTTACTGTTACTGTCATTGGGACACTAATTAAGTCATCACTAATATTGCATACTATTCTACCAATTCATAGGCGTGCATTTGTTTATTATTTTTATTCATAATTTTTTGGTTTACTGGTGAGTATACAATACACTTTGTTTACACCACTGCTTTCTGTACTTTGGCGTGCCCAGTAAAAAGAATAATGATGTACCTGGCCTGTTCTTAAAACAAACGCAGTCTAGATTGATCCTCTCCCTTTCTTTAAAAATTCCAGTGTCAAGTGGGGCCTTGTAATATTCTCATTTGAGAGGTATTTTGATCGTCAAACCATTGATGAAAATAGGTTTATCATAAACTAATAAACAAGCTTGATCAATGAGTAAAGTAACTGTAAAGTCAAGTGTTCATACTTTTACAACTCCTGGATCTAATCAAGGAAGAATTATTTCTCTAGAACCGACTAATAAAAAAGCTCTTTTGATGAACAACGCAAATGTAAAGTCGAGTATGTACAGAATAGTCTTCTTGGAGAATAAAACAATATGATTCTCGGCAAACCTCCAATCCTCAATACATTTGCAAAACCGCCTAATTTTATTGAAAATTCTTATACTCTTCCTTTGTCGCCTCGGCTAGCGATGCGGTACTCTGCAAAAATCCATTAATTAATTAAAATTCGTGATCCAAATATGTTGGTGGAATAAATTCTTTAAAAATAAAATTATATGCCTCCTAGTAGATCAACTTTAAATTCGACTAATTTAAAAAGAAAATCGACTACTGAAGAATTGGTTTCTAATAACAAAATGCCAAAAAATGCACTGAAATATACATAGCAAATAAATTTGAGGATGATGATTATTATGCGGAGCAAAATGAACATGCAGACTGGTAAGAAATCTAAATGAATCATTCCTTTACCAAATAACTTTTTTAATGGAATAACACTTGAGTTCAGTCAAAAAGGAATACAAATATTTTAGGAGATGATAGTTCTAGTGTCAAGTAGAGCATTGAGAAAAAACCACTAATGTTAGCAATGAGATAACTTTTCAATTTATTGTCGAAAACGACTAGTTATTAGTGTGTAAATATTAAAACAAGCAGAAATTTTGTTCTGACTACTACCTAGGCAACTGGAAAATGTGACAAGAGCGTCATCAAAAATTGAATGTACCAAATATGAATTTTGCATCACTGTTTTCACGATCAAAATACCCCAAAGTAGAAAAGTTTTTGTATAAGTAAATATAAATATTGCACAAATTATATAAACATTTAGTTCATTTATTGAAATATAAACTATTCATCTACATACATATTTGTGTACTGGCTAATTGGAAGACTACAGCTTTTCTATTCTTTTAGTATTTTTCTTATCTTTAAGATCTGATGAATAACTCAACAAAGCAATCAAACACTTTATCCTATAATTTTCTAAATCTACATAAGAATACCATGGGGATCTATTAAGTTGTCCAAATGTATCTCGTGATAGAAATTCTACTACAATGAGAAGTGCCTTTGTGTTTTCCAGATGTTTACTGCCAATATTTCTTCAATAAACCTCTTATTTTTCCAACTATTTGGTTTTCAAGAAATTTCTGCGTTTCACATTTAAGCTTCACAAAATCTCTGCATTTTTCGCTGTGAAATCTAGCATTAAATGTTTTTCTTCATAGCCTGACTTAAATATTTTCATAAACCTCTGAATTGCTTTGTGCGACTTGTTACTTCCGATAATTTACCCAAGTTTCCTCCTGAGTACCGCCACTTTTTAAATAGCACCTAATACTTTGCATTTTTTGTTTTAGAAGTCATCCAAATCGTTTAATTAAAAGAAGCTCTTTCAATTGTAATTTAAATCACATTATTCTCAATGGAAACAAAACATTGTGTAGTTTTTGCATTACAATTTTTATATTTATTTTTAATTGTAATTGTAATTTAATTTGTAATAATTCAAAGCAAATCAGTGCTGTATTTGTAAAAAATTATTGTGATTAAATAATAAAATATGTATATTTTTAAATTTTTAATGTGTTTTATATAAATATATATTCCATCTGTTTACATAACACTATAAGAAACATATTTCATTGTTATTTTAAATTAAATTATTAAAATAATCAATTTCCTAATTATTTACATTGTAAAGTATTTTCTAAATATCAAAATGTAATCGAGATATAACATTGTTCTAAGTTATTAATTATGTTGTTGTTGTTGATGTTGGTGTTGACTCGATCACACCTTCACTATTAATTGAAGATCTGTATTCATCATTGGTTAACTCACTATAATTTTCTGTAGATAACTTTTCTAAAATAATTATTATCCTAAAAATAAATAAAAATCATTGATTAAAAAGAAATTTAATAATATATACAATTATACAATACCAATTATACAATACGATGAATTTTTTGACATCCTATACATTATTCTTAATAGTAAATAAGCAACGAAATATACAATTTTTAGCAAAAAAAGGGCGAAAGCGACCAATATTTGCCACTTTTCATTTTATGGGCGTCCGCTAAGTAGTATGTTGTCTTGAGGTGATTCCGATATCTATTATGCTTTACGTGTCTTGCATTATTAATTGAGTCTCTTTGATCAACTGGTAAGCAGGTATGTACGAGGTGTGGCTAGAAAACACCAGAGAAGGACAAACAGAACATGACCGTGTCTCGTGACCTCTCTATGGCTATCATCGTAAAGTATGCGCCTTTGCGCTACGATCAATGCGCTAGTTCAGTGTGATGTCATTTTGGTTCTACTGACATTTAATTCTAACCAAACTTTTAACAAAAACATCTATAAATTTGACATATACGTTTTTACTGTTTTTAGTTTATTTCTAAATATTGTTTACAGGTCATAAAAAATAGTTTAAAGGTATGTAATTGGTAACTAAACGATTGTATATTTGACGCATGTTATCTACTTACTTTAGGAATATATAAAAGTGAAAAAACGATATAATTTAGGTAAACAAAACGCACTCAAAAAATCTACTGTCACTTTGTCAGTGGAACCATAATTACATCATCAATGAACTAGCGCATTGTGCCGTAGCCTTCATTCGAAGTAGATCTTTACCGGAAATATGGTCGTGTGTCAATGTAAAAGTTGGAAAATCGCCACAGGAACGTATGTTTTTCACACACTCATGTTTTTGAATGATCAATGAGGGATGAGAAGTAATTGCAAAGATTCGCGCCCAGGACGATTTTTTACCTCAAAACCAGACACTAACATTGAAAAGATCGGTGCCGTTGATCTGAAGAAAAAAGTCTGTCAAATACTTGGGCTGACGCTGAATTAATAGGAATCGAAAAATAAAGTATTAGGCAGAATTAAGCACAACAAAGTCGTGGTTTCTTCATCATAACAACGCTGCAGCCCACACTGTCACTGTCAGGAGGTTTTTTGTCAAGTATTTAGATCTCTAAAATATTTTGTTAGAAAGTCCCATTTATTTGGATTATTTTTTTAATATTTTATAATATATAATCCCCAGTCCCCCTACTAAATTTCGAAAAATACATCCACATATTCTTAAAGTGAAAAAAGGCTGAGATAAGTAAAGAAATGAAAAATGAATGCATCGACCAGGGACCTAAACTGAAACCTTCGGACTATACACGACTGCCTCTATCGATTGGGCTATCAATGCACATGGTTTCAATAGTCGAACTCGTAGATTTGAAGTCAATCAGATTTAGATTCGTCGGCGCACACACAGTCTATTTCCATCTTAGCTCTTTCGATTCTCCTTAAAACCACCTTTCGTCGACAACATTCTCAAACCTCGTAAGTCGGTTTTTTGGCAAATTGAGTTATATTATCAAGCCTCGTATTTATTATGGTGTCGCTTTTTTATGTCCACTATTAACAGAATATAGTAATTAGATTTTTTATTATTTAAAAAATTATAAAATAATGCGTTTTTTTGTTCTCCTGAAAAATATTGTTTTACGTACTAACGAGGTTTGAGAATGTTTTCAACGCTTTGTAACTTCGTATAGATGGACGACAATCTCAGATTGTACCAGAATAAATTTCTGAGATCCATCATTCGTTTACCAATGTTAAGTTTTCGAGTACGGTCCGACGTAAATATACAATTGCAAGGTGGCTTTAAGGTGAATTGAAAGAGTTAGAATGTGTGTGCGGCGACGAGAATCGGAATCTGATTGACTTTAAATCTACGAATTCAACTATCGAAACCATGTGCATTGATATCCCAACTGGTAGAGGCGCGGACGCATATAGTCCGAAGGTTCCAGGTTTGATCCCTGGTTCATTTATTAATTTTCCTTCCCTTTATTTTTCAGATTGTTCAATTTTTTGTTTTTTGAAGAAGTCACTAAATTTTCCTTTAGTTGATTTCCGTCTGTTAACGTTCTCAAACCCCACGATTTTTAAATCTCAGAAATCCCGTTTTTTAACATTTTCGAGAGCCTCTGTACTTCAAAATACATACATATATCATTCTTTACCGAAATTCGAATCAAGCTTTAAACGCTCAAATTCATGTAAATTATCTGATGATTTTCGCAAATGTCAGAAGGGCATTTTTTCAGTCATCCGATTTGTTAGTATTGGCTACTCCCACTCCGAACCACTTGGATACCGAACTAGTCCGAGTTTTTTTGTCGCCTGTGTTAACCTGTGGGGAACTAAGGTAGCAATATTTCACTAATAACCTTTTTATAAAGATTTATTTTAATGTACTCCTGGTCCGCCGCCGCAAGTCTAATATTGCTATAGTCCTAGAAAAATTAGTCGGATTTATGAACTTTCGTAAAAGAGGTCAAAGACGGAACTTCTTACAGCCGAAATAATTAATTTCTCAACTTTATTCGGAATACCGTTTTGAGAGTATTGAAGGTCCTTAAGCGAAGCAGGTCGACTATTATCACAGTCTTACTTCGCCGACTTAATTTCTCAACATCTAAGGTTCGCCGAGTCAATAGACCCTTCGAGACTCCGGCAATAAGAGAAATGATTAATTAATTAAAATAATCCTTTAATAAGTGAATTTTCATCAAGTTTAATTTTTCTGAAAATCCAACCATAATCACAGCTCTACTTAGCGCCATTTTCTTTTCTAATTTTTAATATAACGTGAAGAAAATAAATATGGTTTTTCGACAGTAATGCGTGAAATATTTAGGATGTTGGAACGACATTAGTCGTATTCATCCTGTTGATTTTGAAATTATTTATGTCACATTAAAAGTGTATTATTAATTAGCTTTTATTAGGCACCGAAAAGTGTGACCGTATTACTGATTATACAGGGTGTTAAAAAAAAAGTGTCACAAAATGAAATGGTGAATAGTATGACCCAAAATAAGCAGAAAATTCTTAATAAATATATGACCGCAAATTAACGGTTTCGGAGATACGGACCATTTTGTGTTTATAACGATTTTTTATTATTATAAAAAACAATGATATTTATAAACAATCAATAACAACATAGAGTTAAATGAGATGTTCAAAGTGCCCTCCCTCCATTTCAATGCATTGCCATTTGCACGACCGTACATAAAATGCATGTCAGCTAATTCAATATTAGTGTAAACAGGCATAACGAAAATTTATAAAATTATTCGCCCACAACAAAATAATAACTGCAAATAGTATCTATGAAAAAACATCGGTAGACTCCGATAAGAAAAGCAAGTTTTTGAGAATGAAAAAAGATAATCAAAAAATGATACAAAACACAAAACACTCCGTATCTCTGAAACCATTCATTTGCAGACATATGTTTATTAAGACTTTTCTGCATATTTTGGCCCATACTACCCCCCGTTTTATTTTGTGACACTTTTTTTTAACACCCTGTATGTTTTCTATACCCACATGGATATTAGCACAGATTACAAAACGAAAAAATATGCTATTGCCTTCAAATGATCGAATATATTTCATATCCATTCTAGAACACTGCAAAAAAAAATTAAATCCACCAATCACCGTTCATATTTTAATCAACCGATTGATATTATTTTTAAAATTTTAAATCGGTGACAATTCTGTCAAACTAATTGTCAGTATATTTTTTAGTTATTGAGATTAAACATACATTAAAATGAGTTATGCTTGTGTAGAATCGATAAATAATAGCATTTGTTTTTATTTCGTCTATAATTATAAATAATTTGTTAATTTAAATAAAAATATATGAAGTCAATTTAATTACGAGTATTAAAGCAACAAAAATAAAAGAATAGGTGGTCCTGTGGTTAGCGTTCTTGCCTTCCACACGGAAGACTCGAGTTCGATTCTCGGATGGGGAAAAATGAAATGAACTTTTTTTCGTTTATTTTATTTTAAAAATTATTAAAAGTCATAAATTATTTTAATATTAGTTATTTTGTCTTAATAACCTGAAACATATTTTTTTAATTATAAATTTTCGCTAGTGGATCGTAGAAAAAATATACTGTACAACTCGAGTGGATTGTTCAAATTTCGTCTTCGTGCGATATGGCCATCATATCCACTCTTGTTGTACAAACTACTATTATTTACTGGCAAAAGTTTTCGTACAAACGCATTATTATAGGGTGTGTGTTCCAAAAATTATTTAAAGTTGCGGATTTAATTCTTTTAGTTATTTTTTCATTTCTATTTTATTTATGTATTCTCTCGAAGCTCTTCGTTTGTAAATATTTATTCTGGAGACTCAATTATACTGTTAATTGATTTAGAGCTTCTCACGGTTTATTAGGAATTTCCGTTTTTACCATGGAAAACAACTTTAGGGATATAGGGGTATTTTTCATAATTTCGTAAGGGAAATTGGGGATTATATATTTTCATATTTCCAAGAATTGAATTTATTATTACTATTGAAAAAAGCGAAAAAACAAGATAAAATTTACTATCGGATAATTTCGATCTGTTCTACTGAAAAGTAATATAATATTCGAGTTTTACCGGTTTTTTTGGAAGGTAGAGATGTAGTATTAATAATGTTTTTCATTATAAATTTTGTAAATAATATTAGGAAGGGTACTTAACATAACGGGTGTTATTTTTGAATTGTTTTCTTTAGTTCTCTTCGACTGCATTTTTATATTCATCAATAACGAATACATATACTGTACAAAATTATTTTTAAAATTATTCAGCAGCTACTCCAAGGGAAGATTTTCAGATATTTTAGGGGCTTTAAAATAAGATTTTAACTATATTGATATAATTTTTATTTTAACAGAAACCAGGAAACTGATAATTATCGAGTTATTGCAATTAATTATATTGGCAAGATAGACATTTTTGTCCAGTCCTGATTTGTAAGAAGTGTTGAGATCAATAATTTTAGATTATTTGATTTTAATGGGTAAATTGTAGGTATTTCTGAATAATTACTTCTATAAAAAAATACTTACACAGCTAAAATAACGCAAATACTATCCAACCCGGATGCAACAAAATTGTAAATGGCCGGATCTGTATTCACAGTTGAATTATAAATTAAAGTAAAAAATGGAGATGCTGTTATACTAGATACAGATTGTATAACGGTTATTAAGGAGAATAGTTTAGCTACTTCATCAGTGGGTAAAATTTTAACTTACATAAATAAATGTCTCTAGATCGGGTGGCTAATCCTCTAATTAAAAATCCGTTCACTTCGGACATAAAACCCATGAGCACAACTATTGATTCTGTTATTTTTAAATATTTGTGTATTATAAGAGTACCAAATATACCACCAATCATAAAAAAGATGCTGCTTACACCTGTATACCATGTGTACTCTGTTAAAGTCCAACTAAATTTACTTGTCAAAAATAGAAAAGTTTTGGAGCCACTACCTAGTCCAAGCATAAATAAAGTCAACATAGTAGTTATTAAAAAAATTATTGCTCTATCATAATTTGGACGCTTTTTTGTAAATACTCTGAATAGTTCCTTGAAATTGAAAGACATAAGTAGGTTCTTTACTGTTATTTCTCCCTGTAAAAAAAACATAAAAAAATTATGATTCTCTCCAGATACGCTGCTTCATGGTATTTTGTTATTTAACATCGACATCATAGTATATTACACAACAAGTGTGGAAAGTATAACATTTCGCACCAGTTGAAGTTTAGCACAAGCAGCAAGTGCAGAAACTAAACGAGTGCGAGAAATGCACTCTTTCCAGCGAATTGTATATACTATTTTTCATACAAACACGTAAAAATCATTCAAAAAAAAAAGTCTTTTTCAATTAAGAAAGTCTAACAATATCACACATGTACTGAAAAGTATATCACACATGTGTTGAAAAGTAAAAAAATCCTCCAAAATATATTTTTTATTTTGTAACAGTAGAGATGACAAGAACTAATAGAATGATTATAAAATATTTATTACAATTTTAAAGCCTATAAAAAACTTTATTGCCTCTCATTTTATACATTAAAATTTATATTGACAATTATAATGATAACTTTGACGTACATGTCACAGGTCCTAGGACGATATTTTTTACTTTTCAATACATATGTTCTTGTTACTTTTCAATAAAAGTGTAACATACAGTGCTTATTTTTTCGTGTTAGGCATAAGACTGGTATATAAGTTAATAAAATGGCAACGGGGCAACAGCTGCTAGTTGACGAGTAGAATTAGAAGATATGGTAGTGGGATATTAGCCGAACTGAATATCAGTGACTAAACCAGAGAGCATAGCAATAGCAGGGATATTGTAGTTGCCACATGACTATGCCTAATACAAAATAATAAAGTTCTGTGTATTTCAGTACACGTGTGATATAAGCTACTTTCTTATTAAGTACAAATGAGTGCGCAAACTATCATTTTCATATGTGGAAGTAGGAAAATATATCTTCAAATGGTTTTTATACATGTTCTGCTAAGTTTATAAGAAATTTATGTTTTGTGCCTTGAAGCTATATTATGCATATGAAAATTGTCCATAAATCAAATTTATTTAGTTGGAAACAAATAGTATAAAATAATTTGGATTTAACTTTTCTTTTTCGTCTTCCTTTATTACAGTTACTAGACTGAGATAACTCTTTCATCATGGTACTACCATAGTAATTAAAATTGACCTAGATAAATAAACTGAAACATATCACGAATATTCATTAGATTTCATGAACATTATTAAAAAAAAAAAACGAAAAATGTAATCGTGATTATTTTGATAATTTTAGAATTACATATTTCAATTATATTAGCTTATTCATACACATCAATAGAACCTTGTTGCCATAGCGATTTTCGGAAGTAAACAAACACTATCTTACTGTAAAAAGCAAACACTTTACCTGTCGCTAATATTTATCAACATAGCCATGACTGGTTGACATTAAACAGAAATCATTTGTCACCGTTTCAGCTCCAACAGTAAAAGTTTTAGTAAATTATTTATAGAAAATCAAATGGAAGACATTCAGCAGTGCACGCCGCCTGAAATTCAGAAGAAGTCGTTAGAGACGTCTTTCGAAATTCAACAACAAACATCTGTCGAAAAATACAATCGCCGTATGCATAGAGTGGTGCAAAAACACGGAATTAAAAATTATAATTAAAACGTTTTACTGGTGCATTTTTCCGATTTATAAAATAGTATTCACGTTCTTCGACTGGATCGTATTATTACATAGTGAAAGCATGTAGCCGTGAGTTAGTCAATACTGTTTTTTGTCAGTAAAAAAGAGCAACACAATTTTAATGAGGAGTGAACAATCTCGACACATTTTGTCAACCTTCTCGAGTAAGAGAATAATGCCATCAATTACTGTCGATGATAAAAAAAATATGGTAAAGACATCAATGCCATATTTGATGATGATTTTCATGGAATAAAAAGACTGCTTCCAACATTATTATTAATTTCGGAAAATGTGGTGGCCTATAAATCTGGTTTTGTAGCCAAAGCGCAAACCGAAATTGATAAGGAAGCATTTATCAGAAAAAAATTATAAGCTCATTCATTTTCTACACCAATAAAGAATTTTAAAGTCATGTATGTAATAGGTACAAGACGAGTGCAAAACAAATGGCCAACTACACTAAGAAATAACTATTGTATTTTCTTGTCCATGTACGTTATTCTATCTGAAATAAATAATAATTGAATGGTTATTAAAACAGTGCAGGTGCGCCATTTATTTTGCATCCGTCTTATATGTGTCATGAAACAACAATTTGGTTATACGCATTATATGTAAAACCAAGTGTACATGTATTAATTCATCTAGTTAATGTTGATGAGACAATCGGGCATTAATTGGCCTCTACTTTCTATTATTAATCGTTTATCTACGACTAACTACACCTCTGCATTGTTGTGAACTATCCTTAATTGATATTTTTTGTAACGCTATAAGCAAATTGACACTTTGAAATCAAATAATAAAATTTGAAGCTTGATTTTTCATCCTATTAGAAATTTGGTTGCTGAAAAAAATCTTGTAACGAACTTTATATTAAAATGTAATTAATATTAGGTCGTAAAATATTAAATTTCTTTTTCTACACCCGTATTATAATAATGCACTTATATGCCCATAATCCGTTTCATAATGATACCCATTATGATACAGATTTTTCATTATGATACAGATTTTTAATCAATAGAAACCTACAATTTTTCAATCAAGCATGATGTTTGACGTTTGTCCTAAATTCCTATGTAATTGTTTTAGTTGTCAAAACGTATTACATTTTCGTAGATAGCTAAACTTCGATAATTATAATATTAAATGTCTGATATCAGCGATATAGAAGACTCCTCCACACATATCGGAAAAAGGAGAAAATGCAGTACAAAATATTTTGCCCCAAAAATCTGTGGTAATACCAATACCCAAGGTAATAATTAATTACAATTTTGTAGAATTTTTTATAGAAATACGAGTAATTACTGTTATTGTGTTCAATGCCAATATAAATAGAATATTTATAGGTCTTGATTATTTATCGGGTGTAGAAAAAATAGCGTATGCAACTCTCATGTAATGGTTATTAAAACACTCGCATAAACCATACGAAACTCGCCTTTGGCTCGTTTCGTATCCCGGTTAATGCTCGTGTATTAATAACCATCATTACATGATCGTTGCATAATATACTATTATATACATACATCTGTATTTTACTGATTAAAATGATCTGTGAGACCAATGCTGAATGTAACATGTTTGTGAAAATAACTCCGAATTATAAGCATAAAATAATTTCAACATTGAAAATTAATCCGGCCCTGTTTAATGACGTAGCATCGTCTGCAAACGACTCAATGCGCATGCTCAGTAGTGCCGAAACAAGGAGCATTTTGGCGATATACTGTTTGATGTGCTGTTTGAAATCAAATTATCTTGTTTGTTAAAAATACAAAAAATGATGTTTAACTGTCAAATATAAAGTAAATAGCGCAGCTGGCTGAAAATTTGAAGGTGGCGCCATGTATTGTCTAAGTCGATTACGTTTCAGCCCAGCGTCGTACCATTGTATGAAGGTCGTACATATTTGTTGGGCTGTATTTATAAATACATACGTACCTCTCTATTAATATTTTTCAGAGATTCGGGTACAAAAAATATTGTATATAAAATACCCACAGTTGAAATACCTCCAGCTATAGCATAAACAGATGGATAATTAGTTGCATAGAATAAATAGGAACTTGAGGTGCTGCCAAATAATACACCTAATCCAATTATACCTTCCATTATAGCCATTCTAAAAATAAAAAATAAATAGGTAAATCTGATTTACTAATTATTTTGATGTGGTAAATAATGCTATTTACTGGAGCAGTCGCTTAAGATCAATATGATACTTCCTTTTATTTTTTTAGTTTTATTATTATTTTGAAAAACCTAAAACCTTCCTTTTAAAATATTAATAAGTACCGCAACGACCAATAGCCATTCCTCCCCTCGTAGAAGCTGCTTTGTGGGGTGCTCTTGTAGGGAAGTTATTATTTAGTGTAATACTCAATTATTTATTTTATTTAAGGAGGTCCTTTCGCCACACCTCTCGCCTCAAATGTTAAAAAAAAAGTTATTAGATTATGACTAAAATTAATTTTTTTCTAATAGTTGAAGTCCTTATTTATCTAATACTGAACTTTTAACTATACCTTACCTTGCAAATTTTTGAGAATTTTTTTTAAAAATGTGAGTATTTGTACAGTGCCTCACGAGAAAGTCCTCAACAACAATTCTCGAATTATACTATTATTTATTGATTAGATGGAGTAGAAAAAAAACTAAAAATAAAGGTTTTTGAAATATTTTGTGATTTTTTAATAATAATTTCTTAATAAATTCCACGGTAACCTATATATTTTATTGTAAAAAACAAAACCTAAATATTTCAAAAACCTTATTTTTAGTTTTTTTCTACTCCATCTAATCAATAAATAATAGTAAAATTAATTATAATTCGAAAATTGTTGTTGAAGTCTTACTTTCTCATAAGACACTGTACAAACACACACATTTTAAAAAAAAAATTCTCAAAAATTTGCACGGTGAGGTATAGTTAAAATTTCACTATTAGATAAATAAGGACATCTACTATTAGAAAAAAATTAATTTTATTTTTTATTTAACATTGGTGGCGAAAGGACCTCCTTAATAAAGTGATTAACAAATACTAAAACTAGATGATGGATACAACTGCATAAACTAACCAAATACATTATTTTTGAATATTTATGATAAATGTACATTTTTACTGCTTCCAAAATTTCTTCTGGAATTTCATTTTCTATGTCAGCGAAACACCGATCGGAAAAATGAAAAAACAGGGACCGGTAAAAGCTTTTTTCTACAATCACTATCCAAAGTAGGCTTTTGCTCATTCAATTAGAAAGTTGACGTTTTCCCCGAACTGTCATAATTTGACATTATTGGCACACACGTGCGCCAAAGTAACTTTGTCTATTTTCATTTGAATTAAATAAAAGGGAGATATGCCCATCTAAAACATTTTAATTGACTTTCTAATATTTTAAATCGTCCAACAGTATTTTCCGTAAAAAATTAAATGATTAAATCATATACAGGGTGTCCCGAAATTAGTCATATTTTAACAGCGTAATCTACATCCTAAAATAGGAATAAAAGTTCATATAAACATAGGTCCGAAAACGTTTCGTTTTCGAGATACAGGGTGTTACAAGTGAAGTTCTGATGGCACATTTTTGTAAATATTTTCTAAAAATTTCTTTAGTCACCGGTTTTCCAAAGTAAAAAAAATAAAATTTCTGATTTCACTGGCTTACTAATTATTGTTTACACTTTCGAATAACTTATCATGAAATTTTCAAATGCTTTTTTTTCTTGAAAATGGTGCGTCCTAGCGAGATGCAACAAGAGTAGCTTTATTATAAAAAAAAACATTGGTTTTCCAAATTTTATAGTCAAAAATGTAAAAAACTGTCAACAAAAAAAACTTAGGGCAATTTTACCCTAAGCCCCCCCTAATTTACCCACCTATGAAGATAATAAAAAACTGGGGTTTAGTCCATTAAATAGAGCGTACAAAGATAATCATTTGTACCAAATTTCACTTAGTTATCTTTAAACGTTTAGAAAATATTTACAAAAAGTGTCATCAGGACTTCACTTTTAACACCCTGTATCTCGGAAAACAAACGTTTTCGGACCTATGTTTATATAAACGTTTACTCCTATTTTAGGATGTAGATTATTCTGTTAAAATATGACCGTCTAATTTCGGGACACCCTGTATATTTACCGACATAAAACATTTTTTTCTCTTCGAAGAGTAGGCTTATGTCAAATAAACTTACAATATTATAACGAAAGAAGGTAACCCATTTCCAATACAATTAAATTATTTATTTAATTTTGTTGTGATCGTAAAAAAAATCTTGTGTGTAAGTCGAGCAGAAAGTTCTTTGGCAGTTTCGATAGATTGCCGCTCTCCGCAAATGCATCGTGCGGCAACTTTCTGTCTGGCAACTGCCAAAGTGTTACTTTCTGCTCTTAATACACAAATAGCAATTACCGGTCCCTAACGTATACTTTCCGGTCTTGACCGGCAAAACGTTATTTTCTGGACGAAAAATAGTATAGAAAGTGTATATGTTCTGGTCGGTCTTAAAAAAAGAATATAATGCATTTTTAGTGTGAAATATCTTGAATGACCACTTACCTGACTCCTCGAGTATCTTCAGTGGTAACATCAGACATATATGATAGTGTAATGACAAGAACTGTGGAACAACCACCTCCTGTTAACATTGATGGTATTGATGCAAATAAAAAGTACCAAGGAGATATATTTGGAAAATAACTAAATACAGCCATTATGAAAAGACCTAATGCCATTCCTATAATTTTGAAAATATAGCGTTTAGTTGAAAGATCTATACAGGTTCGCATTAACAAAAACATCAAGAAATTTTCATGTCCTCGAAACAACACTTGTTTTAGTTGCATTTTACAGTTAGTGCCGAAAGTAGAAGTATTTGTATAATCTTGTATACTTATTTTCCGGATTTTCAGGTTTTGAACAACCATACAGTATTGGTTATTGAACCCCTTCCAATACGGTTTGCTAGCATCGAAGCGAAAACTACAGAGTTAGCTTTCGGGCGAACAGGAAACGAATAACGTTTCCTTGTGCGCTGTGTGATACATATATTAATGAAAATCGTTTGCTGCCATAGATCTAGCGGTGAATTGCCCTGTCAGCAAGAGCAAGCAAGAAGAAGGTACTGTAAATCGAATTTCAAGAAGAAGCAAACTATTCTATTAACTTCTGATGTAAATAATAAAAAAAAGTTTCACGCTTGCTCTTCTATGACAGCATTTTCTACCCAAACTTTTTTAAGACGTCTTCATATAGGGCTCCTGATTATATTTTCTTTAAGGTAAGAATGTACGATATAATTGTAATTTTGCCTTTTGCAAATAACACACTTAAAAGTACAACTGGCTCCCCTACTAACACTATTAAACGCAAAAATAAACTAAAATTTGCGGATGTGCAATTGGAACTCAGAATAGGAAACATAACGACGACAAATTTTGATGATTTTAAGCGAAAATAGAGATTATCAATAATGGGAAAGGCCCATTTGGCGCTAAATGTTTGTAAATGAACGCAAGTATGCAAATATATTTTCCTGGAAATAAAAAAACCGAAAGATTGTTTTCAGTCGCTATGTAGGCAGAGCCGTCTTTAAATATTTTTAATTTCGGTGATATAATCTACTGAATGAATAATAAAATATATTAATATTCTTACGTTTATTATATATTATTTAAACGGGGGGGATTTATGTGAATTATAAAAATAAATTATTTATACGAGGTGATTTATATGGATTATAAATAGGGTAACTAAAATATCTGTGGAAAAATGCGTGTAATTTTTGAATACCTTGACAAGAAATATGTTGATTAAATAATTGAATCTCTTGTACAAATACCTATTTGGGCAACAATCAAAACCGGTTTTCTTCCATATTTATCAGACAATTGTGCATTAAAAATACATATACCAAGTCCAATGATTTGTTCAATCGTCCATTTAGTAGTAGCTATTATATTAGCTGTAGGCTGTACCAGTTTTTCTAATTTTTCTATATTTTCAATGTTTGTATTTCCTAGTAAAGCGCATTCTGTTTCATTATATCCTAATATTAAATAACAGGTCCTGTATATCAATAGATTTGTTCCTATAGATCCTAAAAAATAAAAATTACGTTACAATACAAGCGTTAGTGTCAAAATTTAAATAATAATGATGAAATTCTAAACAAGTTGATAAAAAAATGTGCATGAAGAAAACCGTATATCAACCGAATTTACACTTCTAATTTTATTTGAAATGTTCAAGGTGTTAGGGATAACACGCACATAATTAACGGGTGATTATACTAAAGTAAAATGGTCTTATATAATTGGGTCCCAAGCTCTAAGATTAAGATCACAAACGCATCTTAACTCTGAAACATCTAGACTTACCATCACTGTTTACCTACATGTTTTGTTTGAAAGAAATGTGAGAAACAAATCACAAATTTAAATAATTATACTTACACTTTCGCTAATATGAGTCTAAAAGTAAATGAAGGCACAATAGGTGTTTAAAATAACCCCCGTTCCACAAATAATACAATAAACAGTTCAAAAACTGTGTGACAATCTCAAAACCGTAGAATTAGACAGATATAGATATAGAATGGAAAAAGAAGACAAATATCTAGGCCTAACCCTGGACAACAAAATTCTCTAGAACTTACAATATTAGAAGTAAGTAGTAAATGAGGCCACAAAAGCCTTAATGGTATATATAGAAACATTGCGGGTAAAATATGGAGATATGTAACCCGAACACACTGCAATTGATGTATACAGCAATAGATGAGAGCAATCATCACTTACGGGGCTTTAGCCTGGAGTAACAGAACTACTTTATCTACAACGAGAGCTAATATCTCAAATACAAAGACCAGCCTGTTTGTATCACCCGTGCAATGAGAACCTGTCCCACGGCCGCAATAGAGGTTATCTTAAAACTCACCCCTCTACATTTAATGATAAAGAACGTAATAAAAAAGACAAGATATAGAATGATGAAGGCCGAAGATACTTGGGTTACGCCCCAATACGAAATGAGAAAGAAGTACAGTTTTGTGAAAAATTTGAAAACAAAACATAGCTGAGCTGCAAGAAAGAATTGAGCCAAGAATCCATCATGCTTGCGACCGAAAGACAGGCAATGGTATACGGATGGTTTCCAAACCATAGAAGAAACTAAAATAGGAGTGTATTGGCACTCTGAAAATTTGGATAAATACCCATACATCTTGGAGGGGGAAATTAACACCAGTGAGAAGTGTATCCGGTTCAACATCGACAGAAACTATCGCTAACTCATTTAAAAAAAATGTCACTCGAACCCTTTTACTTTTAACCCATTCATTTGATTTTTTTATTATCGAAATATAAATTAAAAATTTAATTTTATCCATTTTTAAATGATAATAGTCCAAGAACCATTACGTTATTTGAAATAAAATTTAGCATTTGTTTAGTATACTGTCGAGAGATTTTCAACCAGTCCTCCTCTAATCTTTGTTTACGCCCTTCAAGCTCATCTATTTGTTCCGCTTTTGTTGCCGCTTCCAGACTCGAGAAGTTACTGGAAGGTTTTTTTGCAGCAGGCTAACGCGTAGAGGAAGGGGATCGAGAACGACTAGAGCTTCGAGATGCTCTAGTCTGCAAAATAGGACTGGATTTGTCTACAACCTAACTTTTTTGTATATAATTGGATTATTTTGCTGTCTGAGTTAGTTTTTAAAATAAATGTTACCAAGTGAAGATAAATTGTTAAAGTAAATATAAATCATTGTTGGTGTATTTAGTGAATATAAATCAAAATAATTAAACTGTTTATATTAAATAAATGTAACAGTACTTTATTAGGTTAATCTTTCGAGGCACTTAATAAAAATATTGATTAAAAATTTTTGCATACTTTGATAATGCACATGTAATAAAATTAAAATGTTCATTATAAATTTGTAATTTTACCATAAATATGCTAAATTTATTAATCAATATTTTTATCAAGTACTAAACATGTGCCAAATTATATTTCAAATAACGTGATGTTTCTTAGATTACCAATTAAAATTAAAAAATATTTTTTTGATTTATCATATCTCAATAATAACAAAATATAAGTCAACCATATTTGCCAGAAGGGAGTATTTAAACGTGTTAAATGCTATGGTGAAATCTAAATATATATAAATAATCGCTAATATTACTTTAGAAAAAATCGACCCCCTAAAACTATACGCCTGGGGTAGATATCCAGTGCTCGATGAGGTACAATTCAAACGTAGCAATTCTCTTAAATTTATTATAAATAAAATAACTTACCTAATAATTCAAAACTAAAAAAGGTTATCAAAAGAGGTACTTCAATTGTGGGCTTAAAGCAACCCATTTTAATCAAAAAAAGTGTTTAACTAAAAAATACATTTGTAAATTTAGCTTCATCTGTATTACATTTTATAATATGACAAATGATAACATAATGATAACAGAAAAGGAAATGATTGATTTGTAACAGAATAGTTTGCTTTCTAATGTTATTTAAATTACAAATAATTAATATTTTATTACATAATAGGCCGAGGTAGGTTTATAAGAAATTGTAAAATTAGTAACTACATACTATTTTCTCTGTTTAAAAAGTTTTTAATCATCAATGACTTTGTTACAATAATTAGTAAAACAACATAGATAAATACGAAATGTATATATATATATATATATATATATATATATATATTTATTTTATTTCATATTTTCTTTAAGGAATTTAGTAATATTTTTTTGTTATTCTGCATTTCATGACATAATATTTATGTATCAGTATCACATCACAAACATACATAGTTATAAATCATATATAAGCTATTTATGCAACCAGTAACGAAATGTCTTATTTTATATCACGAATGAATATTTGCCTGACGAGCAGAGCGAGTTCCCGCAACATGAACGAGTTCCCTCAAAATAAACGAGTTACTCAAAACGGCATTTCGTAACGTGTTACATACAATATTTTATCTAATTTTGACTAGATTATAACATTATTTTGGTAAAAAATACTATCTATGCAACCAATATTAATTTCTTGTATTGTTAGTAGCATAAGCATCATTTTACTGACAAATAGTATTAATTATTTATACTTAACGACTTGTAATGTGTTTATATGGCTTATTAAAGATAATATTGTTTTTAAAAAAGTGGGTAATTTTGTCGTGCATTGTTTTAATTATTTTGTGCTGATTTAGAATGGAAAATAAGGACAAAAACAACATTATTACTAGGTTGTATGTTTAACCAAATTCTATTTTTATAAGTCAACCTGCCCTTCTTTGATATAAACTTTCAATAATAACTTATATTATTGATTTTAAAACCATTCATTTCATTGACAAATGTTAATTTTTTCTCAGAGACTTGTTGTAGTGTTTATATACGCCATAAAATTTTGGTTCCACTGACAGTTAATTCTAACCATACTTCTAGCAATATTTGACATATACGTTATTACTCTTTTTAAGTTTCGTAATATTTTTAATTTTTGTTTGTTTTTTATTAAATATTATTTTCACGTCATAAAAAGTAGTTTAAAGGTATGTAATTGGATACTAAATGATTATGTATTTGATGTACTTTATCTACTTACTATAGTAATATACAGAGTGGGCCCCTCAAAACAGAGTCCACCCTGTTTCGGCATCAAGGAAACAAGCCGACATTCATAAGGGAAAACAGTAACATTCTACATAGACAACCCTAGTAAAAGTAAAAGTGTAGTCAATTGGAGGGTCCTAGAAGTAGAGACATTTAGCTATTACCAACATATAACATTTGAAATAATGGAGGAAAATTACTAAAATTAAGCTTGGTGACCTGGTCCAAGAGGTGGATGCAAGCAAGTCCCAGTAAAAACCAAGATGAGGAGCTGCTTAACAAAATCATCACAGCCGCATGCAATAAAATAATGCAAAATAAAAAAATGTGCCAAGCAGAGAAACAGAAAATATGCTTATAAGCCAAAATAGCCAAGACTAGGGAAAACAAAAACAACAATACAAACCTAAAGCGAGAGTATAAGAAAAGATACAGAGTAAACAGGTTCCTAAAGAAAGCTATCGCTGAAGCTAAGAAGAATGCCTGGAAGCAACTGGTACAAGAAGTGGACCTGGAGTTTTTCCCAATGCACCTGACCATAAAGTGGGAAATAATGCTAAGGGAACAAGACATACCTTCCTTTACAAATGGAAAACTGCTAGAAGCCAATGATAAGTTAAAGGAGTAGAAAGCCCCGGGTCCTAAAGGCATACCTGCAGAAGTGGCGAAGGCGGTACATTATGGAGATTCTAAACAGATGTTTGCTGAAAGGAACATTACCTAAAGAATGGAAAGTAGCAAAACTGGACAAATGACCAGGACATATAGGCCCATCTGTCTACTAGATTTTCTTGCAAAATTGATGGAGCAACTTCTCTTAGGAAGATTGAAATAGAGAGAAACTGTGATTTGACTAGTGAACAATACGGTTTGCGAGAGAGCAGAGTAACTATAGATGCCATGGAAAAGGTCTAGGAAATAACAGACGCAAACGAGCTAGTATGCAGAAAAAGGTGTGCCTCATCACAATAGATGTCAAGAACGCCTTCAATTATACCCTGTGGGATGGAATCCTGGAGGTGTAAGCCCACAAACATAACCTAGTGGCCAGCTACCTAGAAGACGGACGGCTCCTTATAGGGCCAGAAGGAAAAAATGAGGATGACGTCTGGAGTTCCACAAGGCTCTGTTATAAGACCAATGTTATGGAATGTGTACGATGGCATCCTAAAATTCCCGGTACCATGCGAAATGAAGCTAGAAGGATACGCGGGGGGTGTAGGCGTACTAGTGATGGGGAAAGAATGCAAACAACGGCAAATGAGGTCCTAGAAAATGTTACAAAATGTCTGACAGCAAAACGACTAGCTCTAGCCCCACACTCTGAGATAGTTATCTTTGCAGAGAGATGGACCGTCAAGGAAATCAACGTTAGAGTGCAAGACGTAACTGTAACGAGCCAAAAATAAGTCAAAAATATCTTTGGAGTAACTTTTGACTTTAACATGAGAACATGTTAGAAATGTGGCTAAAAAAGCGGAAAAGGCCGTAGGTAATATTAGCAAGATTCTACCCAACACTGGAGGACCACGAGAAGGAAACCGGAGAGTTTTGTGCAGCGTAGCTATGAGCATAGTACTTTATGGAGCAACGACATGGAAACGAGCAATGAAAATATATATATATATAGTAATAGTTTCCTGAAAGTTCAGAGGAAAATAGCAATCGGAATTACCTGCGCATACCGAACCACCTCAACAGATACATTATTAGTCATCGCCACGACCCCGCCTATCCATCTATTAGTGGAAGATGCGCTGTGCGAAATGGAATGGATAAAAGAGTGGCCACTGACCACACAATTCAGAAAATGGCAACAAGAATGGCGGCAAGAAACCTATAAAAGTCATTGGACGAAGAGGTTACAACATTGAATCATGGGCTACAAGAAAGCAAAGAAAGGTCTCCTACTACCTTACACAGCTGATCTCCGGATACGGATGTTTTCAGGCATACCGATACAGGTTCCACATCAAAGAGAACAATGAATGTCATTACTGCGGGAAAATGCACAGTAGAGCGCACATGTTTCGAATGCCAAAGATAAAGTAATGAAAGAACAACGATAGAAAGCGGATAATATAGTCCACAAAATGTTAGTAAACCAAAGCAACTGTAATGATGTAAGTTACTTCGCAAAGGTAGTACTAAGCAAGAAAGAAGCAGATGTTGGACATGAGATAGACACAAGAGACACAGCTGCCATTCTACTGGAAGTAATGCCGGAAGGCAGTCTCTAGTAGACCACGGAAATGCGGCGGAGGGGTTTTGGCCGGAATTGGGCTAGACACTACTAAACACAATGACCCAGTGTTCGGTGCCAAGCGGTTTCCCCTGCAAAGAAAAAAAGCCTGTTATTTGACAGTATTAATCAGATTTTAAGAAAATTCTCAAACAGGTCGATTTTTATTCAAAAGGGGACACTTTTTACAATACATATATCTGTCTTAATATGTCAATCCCCTTCCTTCCACTTCTCCAACCCCTTAATTTTAAATAAGGAGTATACCATGTGTGGCACATCATTAGAAAGGTATTGTGATGGACTATTGTATTTATAATTATTATATTTTATTACTATTTTAGGACTATTATAATTTTAACATATAAAGTGACATCTTTTTTGTAATCGCAGCAAGTATCAAAAAGATCTACTTTATGCCTATTAAGTTCCTCAATTCTACTGCAATGAAAAGCCCCTTTGTGTTTTCCAGATGTTTACACTGCAAATATTTATTCAAAAAGTCTTTAAAATAATTTTTCCACCTATTTATAACATAGTTCACAAGGAATTTTCAGGTTTCACATGTAAGCTGCACAACATCTCTGCCTTTTTCGCTTTAAAATTTATCAAAACATTTTTTTTCATATCCAGACATATTTTCATAAATCTCTGGATTGCTTTCTGCAACTTACTTTTTGTTTGTGGGGAACAGCAGTTAATATATATTTTTTTAGAAGTCATCAAATTCGTTTAATAAAAGAAGACAATCTTTCAATTGTGCTAAACCAAAACTTTAATCACATTATTCTCATTAATTCTCAATCGAAACAAAAAACAGTGTAGTTTTTGTATTTATTTTTTATTGTTATTAAATAATAAAATATGTATATTTATAAATTATTAATATATAATATTTTATATACTTAAGTATATATTATTCTATTTGTACACATATCAATATAAGAAACATATATTTCATCAATATTCTAAATTCTTAAAATAATCAATTTCCTAATATGTACATTGTAAAACATTTTTTAAATATCACAAATTGTAATCGAGATATCACATTGTTCTAAGTTATTAATTAACTGTTATTGTTGGTGTTGACTCAATCACACCTTCGCTATTACTTGAAGCTCTGTCTTCGTCATTGGTTAACTCACTATAATTTTGTGTAGATAAATTTTCTAAAATAATTATTATCCTGAAAATAAATATTCCTTTATTAATCTCAATAACATATACAATAAGGTGATTTTTTTGTTGTCCTATTAATTATTTTTAATAGTAATAAGCAACTAAATATACAAATTAGAGCAAAATCGTTTAGAAAATCGGCATGTGTAAAAAAGAGGGGTGAGAGCCACCAATATTTGTATGAAGATATTATAGTAGGATAATCTTATGAAAACATCATTGGAGGACGATGGATATAGAATGTAGATGGCGACACTGTGTTTGTGGTCCAAGTCAGGTCTTTAGGTCATGTCGGTGCTTGAGTATGAACGGAGACAACAGAGACGTGTAACTTAATAGGGAAATTTGTTCGGTAGTCCATTTAAATTACATATATGACTTTCTTTCTCTTTTACATTGATCTTTACATATATTTATCTCTCTCCAATAAAACTAACACCAATCTAAGAGGTCGCTGATGTTGCTGGTTTTTTGACGTCGACGTATCGATTAGAACTGACAATGTTATGAATGTTGTTATGAACGTGTGCATTTTATTAAAATTAATTTAATTTGTTTATTTCTTTGAGTCTAATTTTGATGTTTAATTAATTTTCTTTGGGGGGAATGTTTATTTTCGCATATTATTTTTTGCATGAAGCAATTTCTGGAACCAAACTGACGTTCTTGTCCACGTTTCTTTCTAGAGGTAAGTAATTTCCAATTTATTGAGAAAACCATCGTGCTTACTCCGACCTAACTATGCATGTAACTGGGCTAAAAGTGAGTAAGCAGGATATACCCACCTAAGAGTAAGAGAGCAAAATATATGGGAACACTCCCATGACTTAGTGAATAGCTATCCTGGTATGAATTATAATTTGAAATCTTCTTTTTTATTTCTACTTGTCTTTGGTAATGTATTTTTATAGTTACAATTGCAAATTTTTACAAAAGGGTATGTGAAGGTCACATAAAATGCCAAAATATTTTTGGTTTGGAAAAGATTGAATGAGTCGAGGTTTGGTGGAGGGAACATTTTTTTCTATATTGTGGTTAGATGTTAGATTGTGGATTGATCGCTGACGGTTAATTACTGTCTACATAAATTGGCGGCATATGAAAATCTTTTTATTATTAATATTGGGAAAAAAGTTATTCTTTATAAAAAGTCGAGCATGGTCTAAAACCTAAAATACAACCATCAGATATCAAATTTTATCAGTCGTATAAAGAATAAAAGTACTTTACTCTTGAGTAAAACTCACATTTTTTTACAAACCTCGTATACCACTGAAAAAATTTGATATTTGATGACTGTATTCTAGATTTTAGATAATGAAGAACTTTTTATGAATAACTTTTTTTTTTCTAAAATTAATAATAAAAAAGTTTTCCATATGATTCCAACTTAGGGGGACATACTGTAGGTAGTTATAATTGTATTATTCAATATAATTTTACTAAAATCGGCACTGACAAAATTTAACCTAACAAATTTTTTGCTGTTAGGTAAACTTATAATACCAAACACGTTTAGTGAAATTATACTAAGTAATAAAAACATTTAAGCCACTAATTTTCAGTTTTCAACCTTTAACACCATTTGAAAACGAGTAACATTTTATGATAGCGGAATCAGTAGCACATTTAGGTATATTATTTTCGAAAGGCAAAATTACAAATTTTTCATTTATTTTTTTTGTAAGGTAAGCTGGGGTAAATGCAACAGGTTTTTCGAATAGTTACATTTCATGGGTATCTTAAAAATATTGAACATTAAGGATAAAATCTGCCAATTTTTTCTTGTTAAGTATAACTATCTATAAATGTATTTATAGCAGTATATTTATTCAATGTGTCTCTGTTTAGTTTTTAGAATATATTTTTTAAAATGATGTCAACATGTTACATTTGCCCCTGAAAAAGGGGTAAATGTAATACTTGAGCTTCAGGTGCGGATAAACGTTGTATTATTGGCAGAAAGGGGTAAATGTAAAAGAAATATATATTACGAAAAATTTTGTGCAAAAATTATTTAAATCGGTTAATATTTAAGAAAGCAACAAGCTTTTCAAAAAATACGTGTAAAGAAATGGCATTTATTAAAACACAAAATTAGAGAGAAAAATCGAAAATGTATTACATAAACGACAGAAAAACCTCCAATAAACTCTTTTCCTTAAAAAATAACAACCCTTCCAAATGCAACCTAAAAAAGCTGATTTATTAAACATTTTAGCAGCTAAACCTCAAGAAAAACACAAATTAACATATACATCTTGAGGTGTTAACTAAAATTTTGACATGAAATAACTAAGTAAGTAGTTGAAATTGTAAGACATAAAACAAAAAGTTACAAACAAGTTACAGAAGATGTTTATAAGAAACATTTTAAATATTAAATCCATCAAACAAGATATTAAAATACAGTAACCCTATTCTATCTTCGAGTGGTTATGGCAAAGTCAATGCAATATCTGCTTCGTTTACCGTGTCAATATCGTCTGCAGAAGGCCAATCAAATCTTATCGTATCTTGTCGTTTAGTTGAAATTCGTTTTAAAAATTTTACTTCCCATTCATCTTCTACACGTCGTGTTACACGGCCAACATAGTGCTTCGTGTTCTTCTTTGACTTGTACTTTACTAAAGCCCATTTCATTTTCTTTACTTCTTGATTTAATTCGTTTTCTTCTCTGTCCTGAATTTCCCTTCTTTCTTGCACTATATTCTGTAGGAACTCCCCTTCATTATCTGATTCTCTGTATTCTATTTCTTCCTCTTCGTCTTCATCATTGCTACTAATATCTTCCTTCTTGCGGCACCTTGATTTAACTGTGTTTTGTTTTTTGAGTTGTTTACCCTCTTTAGTTTTTTGTAGACGCTCTATAACACATCTTGAGACGTTAAGACTTCTGAGCCTGTACCTACTCTCTTGCGCCGTACACTTTCTGGTCGAGGGCTTTGCTTAATCATTTCCAATAGCAATGTTTCAAAGTTTTTTGCTCCATATTTGATGGTATCTGCAGTAGACGACGTTGACGGCATTTGAAGCTAAATTACTTGTTTCATTAACAGATCCTATAATCTGGATGTTTTCTGTTTTATCAGAATTAGTCCCTTGGTTTATTGTGCCAACGACGTAATGCCCCTAGACAAAATTTTTCATCTTGTATGACTGTTTTGTCAAATGGGTATATTCCTCCTTTTATAAAACCATTCTGTATCACCTCAGGGGACAGAAGTCTCCAGGTGTCCCCTAAAAACTTTGAAAATAGAGATTTTGGTAGCTTACGTCCAATATTTTGGCGTTGCCATGATACTAGTTTTTCATCCCATTTGTCTTTAAAAGGCTTGAATACTGACAAGTCTAACGGTTGAAGCAAATGGCTGCTGTGCGGAGGTAATTTAAAAATTGTTATGTTTTCTCGAATTGCTAACTGTATTACCTCAGGGCTAATATGAGTCGAATGTCCATCATATATAATAATAGCAGGACGATTTTCGCCCAGAGTTGGTAAAACAGTGCGCTGAAAATAGTTTTTAAATATATTTGTCTCCATCCAGTCCTTTTTTGATGCCGCGTAAACAGTTCCAGGGTAACCAGATCCTTGCGGAGCACACCATTGATCCCACATGTGTAGTCCTTTATAGATAATTAGTGGCGGAGCCTTTTCGCCTGCAGCATTCGCCATTAATAAAATTGTTGTGTTTTCCCTCCCTGGACCACTAGTAATTCTGGTTGCAGATTTTCCCTTTTCCCCCACAACACGGGTCTTGGTAGGATCAATACACAGACTGGATTCGTCAAGATTCCAAATATTAGATGGCTTGTCTCTAATTTGAAGGTTCTCTAATGATTCGAGAAGATCAAAATATTCAAAAATTGTAAAAGGATCTGCAGCTTTTTGCCTGGCGTACCATTTTGTGGCTTTTTATGCTTAAGTCGTGTCGTTTTTTAAATCTAATAAACCAGTCCTGTCCTAGTGACTAATTTTTGGAGGGGGTTGGTAAATTATTTGATTTCATATATTGTCCCATAAGGTGTAGCACCTCCTTCCTCGACAAACCAAAGCCTCATTTTTCTAGTGTTTTCAGTCCGGTGGCTAACGTCTGTTCAAGTTGAGGTGAAAGAATCGTGCGACGCACTTTTCCTTTTTTTATTTGCCCGCGGGAACCTTTACAGTTAGTGTATATTGTTGAATAAGGTACATTAAATACCTTTGCAGCTTTCCCAGCAGTCAAACGACCTGCCTTTACTTCCAAAATGGCTTCTTTTAAGGTATTTTCATTATAGGTAGGGCCGTTGGTCTTTTTAATATAGTTCCTAACCATGACTTCTAAAACGAAGAAGATACTATTGGAGCAGCAACCTTTACAATTTATCCATTTTTTTAGGGGTAAATGTAACATGAGCTGTTGCAATTGCCCCTATATAACATTTACATTAGCCCCGAATCAACAATAATCATTACTAAAACAAAAATGCTGCTAAAAACATTTTTACACAATAAACATACCTCCTAAAGTGTAATTCTAAGATCAAACTTACCTGTCTAATATTTACTTAGTCCTAGAAATAGGCTATGGCTTTTATTAACTCGAACTGAAAACTGCGGCGTAAAAATCACTATGACTTTGATCGTTTTTAACGACAGACTAACAAGTAGCAGCAAAGAGTGGTCAGTCTAGAATAGAAGCAGCATACTCCCTCACAACAAAACATGCTCATGGCGCCCTTTCAAACACATCTACAGAACTGTTATTACTGAATAATATATTTACCCCATTATTACATTTAGCCCAGCTTACCTTACATGGAAATACTTTGCTGCATGCCCTGCAGTGAATAAGCGCTCAACGAAGGCGTCTTAAAAAATAAATTATAGAAAATGTGAATATTACATATTTGATTAGATAATTAACATTGAAATAAACCTTCATATGGCTCAGGACGTTAAGTGCTCAACTTTGGATTTCGTGAAGTTCAGTTCCCGACTACTACTATTTTTTTGGACCGTTATCA